ATCGATCTTAACTAGCATTACAAGACCCTCTATATCTCGTCCTGTAAGACCTGAATACAAGATCCCCTTTTTTACTACTTTTTAAGTAGTATGCAGTATCCAGTGTTTACACATTGATGACCATCTACGTTAATAAAACAATGTAATAAAATCTCAAAATAAATAATTTTGCAGCCAACGAACTATAGAGTAAAACACTGTACTGCAGAACGTGATGCTATGAGCGAGAATAATGATATCCCATCTTCCACTGTGTGTTAGCCGCCAACTTTCTGGCAAAATTTCGTCTTTATTTCTTTAAAGTTGATTTTGCAACGTTTCGACAAAGATTTTGTCATTTTCAAGAGAAGATAAGAATCGATATAGGTATAGGGACCTACTTCCCTACTAGCTAATATACTAAAAAACCAATAAAAAAAGGCACGGTCATATAAACTAAAATGTTTGTACGTTCACACGAAGAAACCAAAAACTTAAAAGCTCTTGAGAGAAACGGTGTAGATGTGTGAAACTTGGGAACTATAGGTAATCCAGCATAGAGAATCTATTGGTGACATCGGAGGATCTCCAGGAGGCTTTCAGAAGCTTTTTAAAAAAATATTTGGTTTTCTGCCGATTTTTGGCTACAGTTTGTATCAATATGATGAGCAAATACAACAGCTATTCTAATAACTACGATTTATCTCATCAAGAAAGCATCGGAGGGAACAAGCTGGAATACTCAAAAAATATCATGGATTTCTGAGAAACGCGTTAATTAGCGAGAAAAGCGCTAATTTTCGATGAGTGGCATTTTTCACCATAACGGAAGCACCTGATAAATTTGACTCCGCTATAAAATATGTTAGAAATTAAGTTTCGTACGTTTTATCTGCTGGCACTAACCGTACGATGTGATCTTCAATGAACGACTGTTGGATTTGGTTTATTCCCTTGACGTTAGTCAGGGTCACATAAACTAAAATGTTTGTATATTCCCAGGAAGAAACCAAAAACTTAAAAACTCTTGGGAGAAACAGTATAGATGGCTGAAACTTGGGCACTGAACATAAACTTTAAGGATGAATAGAACTATATTGATTCGATTTTACAATAAGAACAGCTAGCGACTGTTTCCTTTTTCTATCTTACATCAGCAACATACCTAAAACTAATGAGGGACGCACAAGCTGTTTGGTCGCGTAAATCGTAACGAGACAATGCACGCACAAACCCACACGTCAAGGGATCAAGTGAATCGAAGATGAACGTTACTTGTTGTACACCCTTCTACCAAATAAAAGTCAAGAAACATATGAAAAATTATTCAGAATAGTCGATCAACAAATTCAACATAAAACAGAATATGTAACAACTGATTCTGAAAAACCGGCTAAAAATGCCGTTAGAAATGTATTTCCTCAATGTGATACATTTCGTTGTTTTTTTTCGATTTCAAACAGGATACATAGAGAAATATTTGTGTAAGTTTATTTTAATTATTAAGATACGAAGTGAGAGTTTTCTCTTGCGGCATGTACTGGTGTTTTTCACAACTTACTGTCTTCTTTGAAATTTTATATTTTATTTGATTTCACTGCATTACCACCATATTTCAATGGAGATTCTTTTAACATTACGTCTTTTGCATCTTTCATATTTATAGAAAATTGTCCTTCAACCAGATGATAAACAAATAATTGATGTCATGTAAATATGAGACTATTTGCGTTTAAATTCGCTGTTAACCTCTTTGATATGGTTCATTCTTCATTCTCATCATTTGGTGATAATAAATTCAATTTATTTTTCAAATATTGTTTTCATAAAACTCTGCATGAATTCAACCATTTTACTCTATTTTCGATACTTTTAGGTTTTGCTTCTCGCCTAAGCAATTCATTATCTGAAATAGGCAGCACATGGTTATGTTGAAAAAATTTAATTTAGTAAAGATAATGGCAGAAAGATAAAGAATAACAAAACTTTTATTATTGTTATAGATTTTATTTTGGCTAGGATTAAATTACATACAGTTAGTATATAAAAGAAAAATGATTGAGTATTTTAAGTCGGAGGTCAGTAATGAAAGAAAATTTACTGAAATTAAGTTCTTCTTCTAGTACAAAAAAACATGAGAATCGTGACACATTTATTGATCTTTTCTTTTCTGACCTTCTCTTTGCAGCGTATAACAATTTCTTTCTCTTTCGGTTAAATGTATCACACTGCCAAAATACCGTATAGAAGTATTTTTGTCCGTTTTCTTATGAAAGGAACCCACAAGGATACAAGCCATATATAAATACATTAACTGTATATTTGAAATTTATTAATATTTATTCAGTAATTTAAAATTATTATTTAGAATAAACTTAAAATTTAACATAGTTATGGGTAAATTTAAAAAAAGAGATATCAAAATGTTCACTTTTTCTTTGGTATGCGCTAGTTCCAAGCAATCTGTTAACGATCATGTAGCTAATGCAGACGAATTCACAACAGTAATGCAACATCGATCCGATCAACTCGTATTTATTCAGCAAGAAGAAGATCCGAATGTGAAAAGTCAATCATCAGAAACTATTAAATCATTATCATCTCCATTGAAGACTCAGTCCAAACCAATATCAATTAAACGACAATCATCGAAAAAAGCAGAAATTCAGATATTTTGGGGCTCTTTTTTAATAAATTATATAAGGTACAACTAATGCAAAAATGCAGTGAAATTTTTTTGCTTCTATTATACATGTTATGATTCGTTGGAGCGCGGTGAATCATGTC